TTTGGAACATTTAATGGCTCATAATTTTGTTGAAAAGATTACCATATTCTTTTCTTCAAAATAAAAAAAAATATTTTTACATTTATTAAGTACCATTACAGTGACCAATTCAATGAGTTAAATTTCTACATAATCAATTTTCTTCCTAGTATCTTTGATACACACCTACCTCCACCATTTTTTCACTTGAAAAACATATTTTGGTGCACAAGTTTCAAAAAAGTTGTGCTATATTTACACCATGGAATACTATATAGCAGTAAAAACGAAGGATCTCTTACCCGTTGAGATAGCATGGAGGGACTTGGAGAGTATTATGTTAAGTGAAACAAGCCTGTCAGAGAAAGACAAGTATCACATGATCTCACTCATATGTGGAATCTAATGAACAAAATAAATGGATGAACAAAATAGTCCCAGAGACATAGAAGTATGGAATAGACTGTGGAATCTCAGGGGGAAGGCGGGGATGGGTGGGAAGAGATCAACCAAAGAACTTGTATTTATATGTGCACTAGAGGCCTGGTGCACAAAATAGCGCACCAATGGGGTCCCTCAGCCTGGCCTGAGGGATTGGGTCGAGACTGGCTCTCTGACATCCCCTGAGTGGTCCCGGATTGTGAGAGGATGCAGGCCAGGTCTAGGGACCCTACGGGTGCATGATTGGAACTAGAGAGGAATGCAGGAGGTTGGCCAGTTGGGGAGGGACCTCAGGAGGGCTCCAGAGCATGTCGGGTCTGTCTTGCTCAGTCCCAATCGGCTGGACCCCAGCAGCAAGCTAACCTACTGGTCAGAGTGTCTGCCCTCTTGTGGTCAGTACATGTCATAGCGACTGGTCAAGCAGTCAACTGTCTGTCCCCTGGTGGTCAGTGCACATCATAGTGAGTGATTGAGCAGCCTTAGCATATCATTAGTATATTATGCTTTGATTGGTTGAATGGCTAACACTTAACATATTAGGCTTTTATCATATAGGATAACCCTTGGACACAGACAATAGGGTGGTAAAGTCCTGGGGTGGAGGACGAAGCAGGCTAGAAGGGGTCAGGGCGGGGGCGGGGGGGGGGGGTGTAATCCTTTTAACAATAAAGATTTAATTTAATTAAAAAAATAATCTATCCTATATAACAGTGATGGCAAACCTATGACACGTGTGTCAGAGGTGACATGCGAACTCATCTTTTTGGTTGATTTTTCTTTGTTAAATGGCATTTAAATATATAAAATAAATATAAAAAAATATAAGTCTTTGTTTTACTATGGTTGCAAATATCAAAAAATTTCTATATGTGACACGGCACCAGAGTTAAGTTAGGGTTTTTCAAAATGCTGACACGCTGAGCTCAAAAGGTTCGCCATCACTGCTATATAATAAAAGGGTAAATGCAAATCAACCTAATGGCAGAATGTCCAGTTGCTATGAGGTGCACTGACCACCAGGGGCAGACACTCAACGCAGGATCTGCCCCTGGTGGTCAGTGTGCTCCCACAGGTGGGGGAGTGCTGCTCAGCCACAAGTTGGGCTGACGGCTGGCTGGCAAGTGTAGTGGTGGTGGCGGGAGCCTCTTCTGCCTCCACAGCAGCGCTAAAGATGTCGCACTGTGGCTTAGATACACTCCCTGCAAGGAGTAGGCCTAACCTGTCAGTTGGACATTCCCTGAGGGCTTTCGGACTGCTAAAGGACACAGGTTAGGCTGAGGAAACCTCCCCCAGAGTGCACTAATGCTGTGCACCAGGCCTCTCTCTCTCTCTCTCTCTCTCTCTCTCTATATATATATATATATATATATATAGTCCCAAAATTCATGCAAGAAGTAATTTTGATAGAAAACACAGGTTTTAATTAAAAATTGTAAACTTTTTATTGATTCATAAAGTATACAGTATAGGGTTATGTATGGAATAGCACATCGGGTAAATGGCCTCCACAGCTTTGCTGGCACATATGCAAAGCCGTGGTCTTCATTGGTCTTCATTGTCCCTGCTCCTGGGCCATAACTGGTACTTGGTAATGCTTATCAAACTGAAGGGATTGAAATCAAAGGGCAACAGATATTAGAATCTGATCCAATAAAACAAGTAAAATTAGGCTTTTGTTTTTTGTTGTTGTTGTTAATGCTCACACAAAATTCAAATCTTGCGTGAATTTTGGGACACCCTATATAAAAGCCAAGCGACTGTCTGGCCGTTCGACTGTCCGACCAGTAGCTATTATGTGAACTGACTACTAGGGGGCAGATGCTCAATGCAGGAGCTACCGAGCAACAGCAACTTTGCAGAGTACACACTCGCACTCCAGGACCCCTTGAGGGATGTTGGACTGCCAGTTTTGGCCCCATCCCTGCAGGCCAGGCTGAGGGACTCCACCTGCTGGAGGGACCCCGCTCACTCTGCAGATGCCCTTTGAGCCCAGGCACTATCCCAGGTATGGCTGGCTGGAGAGGGACTGCGGGAGGTTGGCTCTAGGGTGTGTCCGGCCCGTCTCACCCATTTCTGCCCCGCCGGGTACCTTCTAATTAATTTCCTTTCAATGTGCCCAAATCCGTAAATAATACTGTAACATGTTCTTTTATAAAAATAGGGTGGTCAGATTCTGGTCCCCAAAAGTTATATGACAAAATTCTACTTGTTGAATAATTAACTATTAAACAGAACAATATATCCTTTTCATTTTGAGAGCTATATTGCTCATTGAGTTTTTGGGGTTTTTTTGAGAAGATTAATCTAGAATATCATCACATGAAGACTCAGTCTGAGATTTAACTTAGACAATCCATTTCACCATCATCATTAGAGTCCAAAGTAGTACTGTCTTTTTATATTTATCTTTGGATTTAACAATTTTGGAAAATCTTCCACTGTCAATGTTAATCTCTTTTCCATTATCAGAAAAAGATGAAAACTTCTGAATTATTATGAAAAACTAAAAGAAAACTATAAATACAAATGTGTCATATTGTTCTATACCATCTTGTAAGATGTAATACTTTTGGGTCATACAGTGAGAAAACTGGATAATTATGAATAGTAAATTTCATCACCCTTCTAGGCTTTTTATTGTATCATATTTCTAGGCCATTTGTCCAATAGAACTATAATGAAAGCTATGTATATAATTTAAAATTTTCTTGTAGTCATATAAAATATAAAAAGAACCAGTTAAAATTAATTTTAATAGATTTAATCTGTAGTATTAATGAACATGTAATCAACATGGAATTAATAATGAGCTATTTTACATTCTTTATTTTTATTCTAAGTCTCTGTAATCTCATGTGTATTTTGCATTTACAGCACATCTCAATTTGGAATAGCCACATTTCAGGTGCAGAGAAGTCATGTTTAAATAGTGGCTACCATATTTGACAGCTCAGTATTGGACAATTCTACCATTCTTTCTTTGTCTAAAACTTGAGTTTTTGGCTCGTTGGAATTGGTTGATAAGTGATTCCAAGAATGGTAAGAAAAGAAAATGTCTCAAGATTTGGAAAAACAAAATCTTGAAACATTCTGCATTTTAGATTTGTATAAGAGTCCACCAGACTTATGATGATTGAATAAATACATTTTGTCTTTTTTAAAGTAGTTTTGGAACTCTTAAAATAACAATGAGAGAACAGACAAGCTGATTAAAAAATGGACAAAGACCTTAAGAGGCACTTCACTAAAAAAGATATACCAATGAAAAAAATAAGCATATGAAAAGATGCTCCACAATTCTATGAGGGACATGCAAATTAAATGATATAACACTATGCATCCATTAGTAGGGCCAAAATCTGGAGCACTGACAAAACCAAGGTTGACAAGAATGTGGAGCAACAGGAACTCTCATTCATCACTGGTGAAAGTGCAAAATGGCACAGCCACTTTGGATGGCAATTTGTTTCTCGCTCTCTCTCCCTCTCCTTTTCTCTCTCTGAAATCAATAAAAATATACTTAAAAAAACCCAAGACTACAGTTAAAACAGAAGTACCTTAAAAGTATATCAAGGATTATCCACTTCATTGCTTCTTCTCTTTCTTTTCATGGCACCATTGTATCAACCATTTCATTTTGGGGGAATCCATCACCTATATTTTAAGGAATGAGAATTGGAATCTTTTGGCACCCCTAATGTAAGCTGAACCAGCCCTCCCTCTATGAATGTGTATATATACTGAGTGGCCAGATTATTATGACCACCTGATGTTTGTAGGCAAATTAGCTATAATTTCGCGCTGAAGTTGCTAGAGGGCCAGACCACTGTAAATAGGGAAGCAGGTTGTTTACCATGACAGTAGAAGTGATTTTTTTCTGAAGATATGGGTAAACAATGCAATTTAACAGCCTTTGAACGTGGGATATATATAATATGGTGGCATTATAATTAGAAAAATCAACTGATATATTTAAATTGTGTATATTATATACTCTGTTATTCTATCAAGTTATTTATAAATCTAAGATATTAAATCACTTTCATGCCATCTAATTCTAGCTCATAAAAGAGCTTTTTCATTTCTTTAATAAAATAATTAAACCATTTTGATAGTATTTTATTGACTAAATCAATGTTTATAACTAAAAGGTGATATTTAACACTAAATTTATAGGAGAATGTGCCCAGAGACCACCATCTGCAATGCTGTTCCCACACACAACCAGAGTAATCTGCATCCCAGCCCCGCAGTTCTGAACTGGACATCAGGTCACTTCTTAGCACCATGAGAAGGTCACTAAATTAGATATTAGGAGTATCTAATCTCTTTCCAAAGCACACTTTTCCTGACTTCAGTCAAAGTATGAAATCTGTGAGGATATTTTTCTGGTCTTTTCTGCTTCATAGATTGGGTAAAATGAGAAAATAATGATTATAATGTTCTGAGATGAGAAGCATCAATATTGAACCTCTTTAATGTTTTCTCATGATATTTTTCTTCCTCAATGATTAAAAATAAGGCCAAAGAATACACAGACAGGCAGATACACACACACATACACACCACCACACACCATCTACACCATTTCTCAATGCATTTTTATTTATTTTTAAATTTTATTGCATGTCTTGGTAAACATTTAGTGGCTTGTAGATTTGCCTCTGGCTCACCAAAAGCCCATGATACAAAATACCAAAAGACAAGCAAGTGAAGCTTAAAAAAAAAGTATCACATCTCTAAGAAAGAATCTTTCAAAAACATTAATAAAGTATATAAAACATTTGACATTTACTAATTTTTGTACAATTATAAAAATAATAAAAAAATACAACCCTTAAACATTCAACATCCCACATACTATATTTTAGAGGAATATCAAGAAAACAAATATTAATGGATTTAATGAAGAAAGCTCAGTTCTCCATTTCTGTTTCTCATCACCTCCAAACAAAAACCTTTCCATTTTCGACAAGGCCACAAGGCTTATCCCCTGAACTGGAGGAACATTAAGCCCACTCCCATTTATGAGCCTTTAATATTCTTTTACCCCATTGTCCTAGCTACTCATACACTCAAAGAGTATAAGTTTCCATCAGGATGTGAAGCCAGTGGTTGCACTTAGACTTGGCTATTGCCAAATCCATGAGATACAGTACAGGGATTTCTGAGTCCCCTAGTGCCAAATCCATGAGATACAGTACAGGGATTTCTGAGTCCCCTAGTGCCATCTGAATAGTGCTGAAATAGCTCAGAAGTCCTTAAGTTTACTCAAACACTCAGGATAGTAGAAGAAGCCATGTGTCCTCCTAGCTTTGCCAAGGCACAGTTTTTGTTCTTCCCCTTAATAGGTGTTCAAAGCTGCCTGCTTGTTCCACAAGTTAACAGTGCTTATTATCATTTAAGCACAATGAAACTTTGAAATCAAGGACTCACTCTCTTGAATATACAAAATAAAAATAATAAAAAAACAACAACTTTCTCTCCCCCCATCTTAATTATGACATTTTTTTTTCTTATTGACCTTTTAGTTTTACTAACTGGTATCTCCATGAAAATATAAAAAAAACAATAATAATAATAATAATAAAAGGTTTCAACTGTGGTTCTGAAAAACCCACTATCCCCAAAAGAAAAAGAAAATAATTGAAACACAAAATATGTAATTTCATACACAAAACATATATACACTTTTCAGATGAAACACATACATTATATTTTAGAGCCACATTAGCCCTTTTGCACTTTAAAATACAAATGGAAGCTTATGTGCAAGAATAGCCCTTTACCAGAAAGTAAAAGATTTTATATCTCATTAGCATATACACAAAATATTTGTTTTATAGTTTGAAAAAAACGCATTTGCTACAAAGTGTGTTTCTGAAATATTTAGGGGAATATTGTCATATTTTCCCAAACATTGAAGACAACTCTTTGTTTATGTGGTTCAAGCAACAGCTCCCACAGTAGGCTTATCCCCTGAACTGTGGGGAAATTTTTATGTCTATGCATAGTCAAGGAGAGAGATGGGTGGGGAATTGGGTTCTCACAGTTACTTTCCAACAAAGTGAAACTCTCATTGATCAAAAAAGAGAAGTGAAATAGTGATGTAACTGATGCCACAGAGAAAAACTAATCTCCTAATTTTGTATTTTCCAAATCACTACTCCTATTTTAAACCTTGAAGAGAGAAAGATAAACAAGCTTCTACATGCAGAATTTTATAGAGTAGGAGGGTCTTTAAAAGAAACATTTACCAGATAATATTATCTGTTTCAAAAGGTATTCCAAGAATTTAAATTCATGGTCCACTGAGGTCTCTTACTAAATAGTGGAGATTCAATATTTCCCATATAATATTTCATTTTCCTGGATATTCTGAAGAGCCATTATGACTTCACTGTAAGAACTAGGTAGATGACATTCATTTCAATCAATTCAACCTTAATTCTACCAATAGTAGTAAATGTGTAATTGAGTTTGTCAATCTACTAATAAATTTCAGTTTTAAGGCTTCTATAATGGCCACAAATGTTTTACCAATAAACACTAAGAAATCATATGTCTGGTATTAAATTTGAGGGGATTATTGATATATCCAGATAGATGATACCAGGTGTTTTTTAATTGGCTGCCATGGACCCTTGAAAAATTTTAGCCATGACCCATATTCCCCATTCCCAACCAAAAGCAAGAGAGCATATTTCCTTCCTCTAGTGATAATATGAATATGAACTTTTTCTTATAATTGGATTAACCCCAAAGTGAATCACCATACTACTAATGTCAGTAACATAAGATACATCAAAATAGAGAATCATGTACATATGTATATAGTCACATAATAAGTAATGGTAAATACATCTGAATCTAACCAAAGGTTTGATGTGGCATTTGTTTAGCATCAAAAGAACTGAAGGGACCTATACATAATTGTCACTCACATGTACCACAAGCTCTAAATAGGTATTACCATACATGGGATCCCTTGAGAGAAGGGGTATAGATAAGCCATCCAAAACAAGTAAATTAAAAAAGTCACTAAGTGCAACTCAATTTTCTTTCCTTTAAATTATATTTTAAACAATACTCAATGCCCCCCAATCAAAAATATATACTGTATATTTATATATTTAAATATATAGTCTTAGACTATAAGAGTGAAAATGCTTTATAAAAGTCAATGAGAGAGCTCTACAGCTTAAGAAGACACTCACTGCTTTTTCGCTCACTTCTACTAATTCATGATAACTTTAGTCTTGCAAATAATAGATTTGAAGGCTTAAAGCCAGAATCAGAACCAGACAACTGGTTGGACATTAGGTTAATGTAGCCTTTTACTTCTCCTTCCCTTAAGAAACCACACTGAGAAGAGGAAGGAGGTAGGGAGTATGCTTTGAAGGTCAAGCAGTAGTGCCTTATAGGGTGGTGGGCTGATGGGAAGAGTATGGAAAGAGCTCACACAATAATGCTCACTCCCCCTCTTCTTTGATACGCTGTTGCTTGTTGCGACGAGCATCCATGTCAAAGTTGAAGTCATTCCATTCATCTCGGGGTGGGAAGGAGATGGTCTGGCGGAGGGTGAAGCGCACTGCATCAATAACACGCTCACCCCGGGTTTCACTGGAGCCCACACTGACTGTAGAGGTACCACTTGGGGTCCGCAGGAGGTGGGGAGGGGAGGAGAAGTCGTGTAGCTGCCGGTGGTCCAGAATGCCTTTCCAGATTGCATGTCGGAATTGCTCAGGAATTTTTAGACTTGCCAAATCCTGTGCAATAGGAAAGGGAATTAAGGAGAATCAGGTCAAGGAGACAACTGACATTTAATCTGTAACATTTTGTCATTCCCCAGTGCTCCTCTGGTTTAACTGATCTGAATTTATTGACCTCTAAATTGGAAAATAAAATAGCTCTCCCATAACCTTTGGCACTGCATATAACTAAGCACAAATGTACAGTCTTGAGGTGCCATCTCTGCTTGTGGATAACACTTTGTTCATTTTTTTACTGGTCCCAGTTCCTTCATTAGTAAAGTGGGGACAATAGTTAGATCAGAGAGAAAAAATGCCAAAACAGAAACATTTGGTAAAGTACCTTCCAACTCTCAAATCTACATGATTCTAGTCACTAGAAGAAGGTATTAATGGAATGACACCACCACTCAAATGAGAATTTGAGAAGACAAGATTACTATCAGTTATTAAAGATTTTCTATGTGCCATCCACTGAACTAATTATTTTATATTCATGATTTCATTTAATCCTCAGATTAGTGGTAGATATTATACACCTTTTTTAGATAGGAAAGCTGAAAGTTAGAGAAGTTGATAAACCTAAGTTTGTATAACTAAGTGAATGACTTGGGCACTCAGGACAGCCTCTGAGTCCAATAGCCCAACTGCCAAAAGGTCTCTTAGTGCTTAGATAAATTAGAGTATCAAAATGCAGAGTATGTGCCCATATTCTATGGATGGGAGTAGAAGGCATGACAAATATGGTTGATCTTAACTAAGGTGGTGGCATCTCTTACATTTATCTACAGTAGTTCTTCATTAATTTGTTTCAGTGAGGGCTAATTTTGAAAAATTATATTATTATTTTTAAATTTTTATGGAATGGCAAGTTGAGTAGAAACAACATTGTTCTTGGAGTTAGAAGACCTTGATAGAGGATCTTTTGTCACTGACTGGATCTAGACCTTCATCAAATCACTTATTTTCTACTGGCCTCATTGGTAAAATGGAATACAATTCCTTTTTAGGTCATTGTGGAATAATGTAAATATGGATATGAAAGTATTTTGAAAATTATAAACCACACTATATAAATCTTAACCATGTGTATTATTGTTGTATTATTATTAATCCATTCTTGCATCTTAGAGAGAATACTTATGAAAACTCTCAAATTTAATGACATTCCTTTTCCAGGAAGGGATGCAAAATAACTTAGACTGATATTGAGAGACAAGCTGAAAAAGAAGTGTTTATTTCCAGTAATGAGATGGAAGAAGCTGAGGTGAGAATGCAGAATTAGATGGCTTTCCAATCTTTCCAAATTTGGGCATTTGCAGTATGGGTACTCCATTTCCTATTCTAGGAGAAGAATATATTATAGAGAAGATGATCCATAAACAGATAAGTGAACATAATTCTTTATGCTTCTGACACTCCCAATAAGTCCAAAACTCTTTATAAACTAGGCTTCATTAATCTGAATGACTCTCTGGATAGATTTTAACTTATTATGGACAGGTACGAAAGCTGTGAGCCAGACACTGGCATAAGATGTAGTCAATACCAGCAGAGAGAGATCTACTTGTGGATAACATCTACAGATCCTAATAGGCAAGGGAACATCCTGACACACTCCCCAGTGGGGACAACGAGCAAGTAGAGGTATAACTTTAAAAATATAGGGAAGAGACATATTCCCTGTTCCATCATGTAGAGCTCCCAAACAGAGCAATTCCATTGTCTTCAAAGGATGGACATCATTGTAGTTATCTAAAACCTGTCAGAACTAACTATGAAAGCTTTCTCTATAGTTTCACCTTCAGGGAGCAGCATCCAGAGCTGATTTATGGGGTGGAGAGGGGTGGGAATAGGGGCAGCACAGCATATACTGTTTACCACAGGGCTGGGCATTCTCATGCTGCAAGGGCATCTCTGGCATCGGTGCTCAAGGAGAGGAGAAAAAAAAGTCCCAATTATAGAAGCAGAGGCAGAAGCTGAGGCAGAGAGGATCTTCTTCCACCAGTCCAAAGGGACTTCTGGAAGCTGGTAGACAGATAGTAAACCCCAAAAAGAGCAACATGAAAGGCAGCCAGGGTGGAAAATTAGATTGCCTAAACCAGAACAATACAAGCTCCCATGTGAGCAGCAGTTCAAGACATGGTGTAGCTTGCTCCAAAATACAAACCAAATAATATAAAAGCCAGAGGAGAGTGATTTTGAACCCAACTGGATTAATTGCAGCCCAGAGAGGCAAAGCGATAACCACAAGTTTGCATTGCTACTACAAAGCAGAGTTGGTATTTAAACTCAAGATAAGTAATCTTTCCCAATAATCATGAATTTCTGAACCCTATTCTGATAGAATTGAAAATGAATGAACATATGGCTTTCACTGAGAAGAGCAGCTGAATCCCTTTAAGGTCCTACTTTAAGGAAAGGCAGAAAAGGCCAATTCATAGAGTTAAAGACCAGAAGTTTACACCTCAGGGTTCTGTTCCTGATTCTGATATCAACTCATCATAGCAAATGACTACATTGTCGTCTCTCCATGTTTTAAAGTGAGAATATTATCATATGCTTTCTGCTATCCTCCCTAGGATCTGATATCAGTTAATGAGAACATCCAAAAAGTTCTCTAAATTTAGAAATTATTCATTTCTTGAAGATGAGAATTAGATCTCTTCTTTCCCACTCTGTACATAGTATGCAATAGACAATTGACTGATTAGGCAAGCTGAGGAAGATTGATTGCTAAGCTTCTCATATGTGTAGGTTGTGGTCTAGGAATCTTTTAACATGTTATGGATTCCATCCAAATTGAGTATTGGAGGGTATGACAAAAACAAATTTTATAACCAGGGGGATTGTCCTACAAGGTGGTTGTCACCAGAGGGAAGAAATGAAGAAATAAAACTCAAGAGAAAAGTCTAACAGTTACTTACATCCATGGAGTAATGCTCAATCTGATAGATGGTGGTCAGCCCCTGGGTCGTGAAATAGTCCAGACATGATGAACAGCCCAACCTCGCTAAGAAACTGCAGAGGGAGGAGGGAAGAGGAAGGAGGAAACAGAAAAAGAAAGTTCACCCCAACTGCATTGGCAGATAAAGAAAAACCCAACATTTTGCCCTGGGATGCCCTACAGAAGAGACTATGGGTAGATAAAGTGTATGTGGTCCTTGGATTTGAGTCTTGGGGATAAGTGAGTTGAATTTTAGGTCTATAAAATTAAAATCAACTGTAAGGATTCCTGCAGAGCAGGAGCTTTGAAATGGTGATTGAATTGTAAGGGGTTCTATAAATGTGCCTTAGTAGCCATTGCAGGTGGTGAAAGGAAGGAGTCCAGTGGTCAGCTTCTCAGCCCTCTTGCCTCCTGGCTCTTCACTTCAAAAAGAGCATCTCTACTTTAATTGTTTTGTATTTGAGGGTTCTGGGAATGGTTCTGAGAACGGAACCTGTCCTTAGGATAGGTTCATGAGACCAAGATAAATTTATAGGCCACTATACTATGAAGCCATTAATGCTTTTTGACTTATGTTTTGGTGCTGGTCTCAGACTGATAATGCCACCAGTTTGCCACAGAACCAGATGCTGGGTGGGATAAGCTATGTATTTGGCCATCCCTCTGACTGATGGTGCTAGTTTCATAGCACCAATCACAAAGAGCTCAATGCATTATTCCAGCAGCCAAATGAAAGAATTATTCTGCACATGAAGCAGAGGAAGATGATGTGTCCTGGGAGTGAGATTTGGGTGCCTATTCTTGCCATCGTGGGAAACAGATCTGTCAGGCTTCATGTACTTCTCTTGTCATGCTATCTGAAAGCCTTTGCCTGGAGTGTTCCCATTTCCCATATAGCAAAGCAGCAGAGGCCATCAGGTTCTTGAAAGTCCCTGTCATTTTTGCTAACATGAAAACTCTTCTATGGGCATGCAACTTCAAAATAATCATCCCATGGTGGCTGAGAGCTATGAGGCCTAGAGAGCAAGAAAGGGAGCAGGATAGCAAGTGTACAGCCCTGTTGGGAACCCCAGCCCTGGGCACCAATTTGAAGGCCACAGCTGACCTTGTAAAAATGGGAGGGAAGAGGCAGGGAGCAAGTGAAGATGGGGGAACAGGCATGATAAATTATATGCCTATAAACTCACATTTTCACTTTCCTCCATGTTGATTAGGGTCATGTTCCTTAATTAAACACTGATGACCACTCCATAGATCAGAAATAATGGTAGCTGAACTTCAACCATGGGGCTGCTTTCTTTCTTTCCAACTGTGCTATTAACTTTGGACAAGTGTCCACCCTCCACCACCCAGAAATGTTTAGGACAGGCTCCCATACTGTGGCACATACTGTGGACTCACCTGACAAGGCTGCAATCTGTGGGGTACGGAGGTGGGGGGGTGCAGTGGGAGGTGGATGGCATGGAGAGTGGGGGAGGGAGGGCCTGGGTGGGGCTGAGTCCATTCATGTCTCCAGCCACTGGCATGTGGGTGCCCATCATAGGAACTGAACAGAAGCAGGAGGAACAGAGAGGGTTACTGCCATCATCACGTACCAGCATCCTAGTGGCCCATCTTGTCTGGTTTAATGTACCTAATTTACCAGGCTTCCTTTTTAGTCATATCTCTCACTTCATACCTTCAAGTACTCTACATCTCATCAATCAGTATAGCCACCAAACTAAAGACTAACTACAGGCCTCTTGACCTTTTTACAGTCTCTTAGGACAATCTCTTCCCACTTCTTTCTGTACTTCTAATGCTCTGTCCAATTACTCATTGCTCCTGATGTTAATATTTCCCTTGTTGTATTTGCCTTCATGGGTTATATTTCTGTCTCCTTCATTAGTCTAATCTCCTCAGACATGGAGATTAAACCTGTATCTGTCTAGATCCCCACAGATACTAGCATGGCACAGAGCAGATGCACAGTACACTTAGGTTAAGTGAGCAAATTAAGCAATCTATGAATGAGAGAACAAATATTTATTTTGGAATAGGAAGATTTGTTGTAATATTTGTAGAAACCATAAACCTAATAAGAAGGAATGCAATTAAAATTCTAGCTTTCTTATGGTCCATTTCAGGATTGTATTCACACACTGATTTTTTTTTTTTTTTTTTTTTTTTTTACTAAACCATAAACTGTAAACATTCACTATAAAGAACAGCTTAATATAATAATATTTATGAAAAAAGTGTATTCAGGTCAAAAAAAGGAGCAAAACAACATATATGCAAAAAGATGAATATAATTTATTTCTACTTTAGTGAATAGTAGTGGGCCAAAGGGAAAAGACTTGTGCCACTAATGAGCCATCTAAAGAGCACAGGACTATCATGTCTCATCGGTTTCCCCTCTGACTTTCCTGATGACAGCAAAGGAAAACTGTGAAGTATAAATAAGAAAAAGTAGGCAAAGTCTGTTACACAAATATGAAGGCCTTGTCATTACTACTCTCTGGTCATCCAAAGAAAAACTTGAGGACTCTAAGAGCTCATAAGAAAGAAAAACAAAAAAGTGAATAGGTACTTTTCCTTTTGTTGTCAAGGGGTCAGGTTGAGTCTTAGGTTGAATTTATCCCTAGTGAGAGAGCAGCTCAGCTCTAATGTCTTTGGTCTTTGTTGCTATATCAGGCAATCACATCACACATGTCTTCATCTCATTGAATTCTGAATATGTGCCATCAGACCACTGAGAGTCCCAATTCTACTCTCCTTAACTTCATTAAGAAAACCCAGTCTCTTCAAGGAAAAACTGAAAATACAAGTTTAAAAGTGTAGTAAAAATGATGAAGGATTTTGTAAGACAATTTGAGGCACTGTTTTATGAGGGCATTACAGGATATATGTAAAATATTCAGGCTCCTGCATCCCTGAAGATATACATCCTTCTGCATTTTTATCATCTTTTTTTTTTTTTTATTTCGAGTTTGGGTATCCACTTTGCTAGACTTAGTTCTGGTGGACAAGATAATTATATTTACACACAAAACTATAAAGCAATCATCCACTCGAAGGCTCAAATTTCACATTGTTTTTTATAGTTATACTTAGCTGCTATAAGGGATCTGTGTGTAAATCAGTAAAAGAGAAATTCCTTTCCTTATGTCAGTCATTAATGATTGTGAATGGAATGGAGTAGACAAGTTGAGAAGGCCAAGATTGCAGGGAACAGAATCATAAAATGTGAAATGTGCAGAGCGATGATTTTATGAATGGAAAGCTGAGCATTAGAGCAGAGAGGTGTCCTTTCCATAGTTATATAGCCAATACTGCAATAGAGTCCAGACTATAATTTATTTATCTAGAGTTTAAGTTCACCATACCATGCTACTTCCCACATGTTGGATGTATTTTCCTTGGACTATCTCAAAGGATGTAGAAAGTGTCTTCATCCACGTTGACAGGAGTAGACTGTCCTTTTCACAGAGATCCTTATCCCTACTAAAGAAATAGCCTTCTTCATTTCCACCAATGTACTTTGTAATGAACCACACACCTCAAAGTGAGAAACTGTTTACTATGAGAAATTCAAGCACTCAATTTGGAACTGTTCTGTCCCACTGAGCCTCTCACTTAGCTTAAGAGCAAGTCTTTCCTGCATCCCAGAGCAGAATCTTCCTCTAAAACTAGCTCTGTGAATTCTTTAGCTGTGGCTTAAGGGAGATGCTCTTACTGTTGGCTCCCATGCCATCTGGAATGGTGGTGGGAGTGAGGGCGTTGCGCTGCTGAGGGTTGATAAGCTGGCTCACAGAAGGCAGCTTGTTCATGCTGTTCATTTTGTTCAGAGGTGGGGAGCTGTTACCGTATGAAGACTGAGACTGCATCGAGGTCCTAGGAACACAAACATTGGAATGATGGTGAGCATGGGACACTGGACAGTGGGGATTGGTCATTTCCAACAGGTCTCAGATTAAATCATGACCTTAAACTGTGCAGTTGCAAAATGATTCCTCCAGGATCAATGACAAGAAGTTATCTGCATTTCCTTCTGAGAACTTTCCCTGACTAGGGAGGGATTACAACGCTATCATGAAATCATATTCTTTCTGAATGTGTAGAGTACAAAGTGAATATCTCCTTTGTGAGAGGGAGAACAATTGCACCCTCCTTTGTTCCTTTATAATTTTCTTTATCCTTTTGCACTCTCTTGCCTGTCAATTAAAACAAGTGTGGAAATCAATAAGGAAAAAGAACTGAGTTAAGACTCAAAGGCTTATGAAAGATATGGAGATGCCAAGCTCAAATGGCAGTGGGGACATTTCGTTTGTAGTTTCCTGGGCCATTGGGCATATGCGGAAGATTACTGCACAGCCAATCAAACAAGGCCTTTAGCAGCAGACCCTGCTTCCATGCAGAGGCCTCAACATGGAAACATGCTTTGTCAGCCTTGATGTTCACGGACCATAAAATAACCATTTGGAATGCCAATAGCCTCTGTATGCAGGAGAACCCTGGAGGCCAAACAAATGTTTTATTGACTTTCCATAAGTCTCCTGGGAGACAAAGAAAAAAAAAAGTTTTCCATTCAGCGTAACTTCAACTGGGAAATTTACTAGACTTGGTTTGCCATATTGTAATATACTACATTTGATATTACTAACACAACTAGCATTTCTGACTTTTTCTTTGAATATAGAACTAGTGATGTCTACTAGAATCAGGGTAGGATACAAAGTTAAAAAAATGAAAGTTTAAGTTTTCTTCCAGCATATATTAGGAAGCTCTAGGTTCCTAGGCAAGCCTCTAAGCATCCCTGCCTTTGTTTCCTCACAGGAAAACAATAGAAATGAAATACATATACACTTACTACAGGAATTAGATGTTAGAGGTAGGAGAACTAATAAGAGGTGGTTGCATCTTTGAGAAGCTCATGGAATAGTGGATATATGGTGACAATAATCCAACTTACCTTGTAGGGCTGTAGTGAGAACTGGAAAAGATAAGATGAAGAACTTTCTAGACCATGTGGTATCAACAGTGAGTAATTATTGGATTATAGGATGAAGATTTGACTTTGAGCATGTTTCTAAACTTTGATGGGAAAAGCTCCCCTTTCAGACTTTTCAACAAAATGTATTATTGTGTTCCTGTTTGTCTTTTCCCTGCTGTAGGCATACTGATATTAGAGGAAAGAGAAAGCATGTTTCTTTCAGTTTTATTTGAATATATACATGTATAGGTATATGTGTATACATATACACACAACCATATATAAATACAAATTTTGAAGGTTCTATAAATAAACCCAGTTTTCAAATAAACATGGTATAATAATGTTTGAAAACATAATAAAAAGTGGTTCTAGTACTGGAGTGCTACAGTAGGACACTTGGTCTTTGAAGCTGCCACACTGCTCTCCATGATTACACAAAACAGGAATGGCTCCATTCCACAGCACTGAGGAGCCACAGCTAGTGGAATTCAAACAATATGCTATATACACATTTGCATATATATGAATGACAATTATACAATTAACAATTCAGCTCCACATTACCATCACTGCCTTTCAGGTAGGAGAACATTGATTTTTCCCTATAGCCTTTCTTAAGAACATAGATAGATCCATGTTGTATAAATAGGTGTTTATATAATAAGCTCTTCCAATTGTAAGATGCCTCAGGTTACCAAGCTCTCCTTTACCCATTTTCTGAAATATTCTCTGTAGAGGAGGACATGGTATGGGAGGGTAGGAATGGGCAGGGTAGGAATGGATAAATATAAATCTCTAAGAAAAAATGTGCTTAGTTATAAATTGTCAAATGATGAGTAGAGAGATCTCCTGGCTCCTCCTAGTCCAAGAGCTTTTTGTTTGTTTGTTTGTTTGTTTTCATTCTGTGGCACCTTTCCAGAAATAAGATAGTGGTGTGCAATAAGTTACAGAATCAAGAAATTGGTGAAGTCATAAGAGAAATGTGGGAAACTGAGATAGCACAGGGAGCAAGAGATGTAATAAAGAACGCCCCCCACCCCCACCCCCAGCTACCATCAAATTGATTCCACCTGGTGTAAGAGTCAGCACATTTGGAGATACTTAGAAACACCTGTAACTCCATATCCAAGAGCAGGAAAGCATAGGCAAAGTGGCCAAGAGATGTTTTTCCAGGTGCTTCTTCTAGCTTTGCCCACTACCAAGTACCCAACATGCCTGTTTGCTAGACTCCACAGGCAGGTTGGTCCTGTGTGACCTAAAAAGTCATGTAGTTATATCTCCCATCCCCTCAAACCAGTCAAATGTACAATAAGAGCTAATGGAAGCAATACCTGAACACTAATGTTTACCATTAGGAAAATTAAATTATATTTAAAAACTTTGCATTTTCCCTGGAACCTCAGTTACAGTAAATGGCTTCTTCCAAATCCTATTACAATTCTCTTTTCCTTTTGTGGTCTTTGTTTTTGACCATTTTATTAATTCATTTGTTATAAACTGACTAAACTATTTTTGAGGAAGGTTGGTCAGAAACCATAGGTGAACATCACCTTCTAGATCTGACACAAATTAATTGACTTTATTTCACAAGTCTGTTGAGTCTCATTTTCTTAATCTGTAGAAAAGCTATTATACTCATTTTAGAAGAGTTGCTGTGGAGATTACATTATATATGAGCCCTGGACATTGCACCATAATTTGTAGGTGCTCAAGATACATTGGTTACCTTTACTCTTCCCCTCAAGCTCCAAATGTTTAATACTCTAGTGTTTGGTTTAGGAGATAAAGATGTACATGTTTAAGATTTAATAGGAGTAAGTGAAAGGATTCTTAATTGAGCAAATCTAGAAATTAGGGTGAGTGGATGAATGGAAGCAAGGGAGTCTGAAAAGGTCAGAAATTCTGAATACCTCTCTCTTAATGTAGAAGTATTAAATCCACAAGGCAAAAGGTCAGAGTAATCTGTTTAATATTATTTGCAATTTCTGACATACAAATAATATTCTGATTATCTCTATGTGCTGTGGAAGGCAAATAAGTCTGAATAAATTTGTGGTGAATTTAAAGCCCTTGAAGAACAACCTTTTTAATTTTTTTTTTTTTACAAATATACTGTCACAACCATTGAGTAGACAATTCCAAAGATTGATGTGAATCTGAAGAGATTTAAAAAAAAAAGTATTGAAGGATAACAGGACCTGTGGCATTAGGTTTTCTTTCCCCTCCCCAACACGAAATCAAAACAAAACAAAGCAAAAAAAACAAAACAAAACAAAACAAAACAAAAACCCCCCAAAAAGTAAGAACATAGCTCTTTCCAGAAAAATAACAAGGTGTGAGCCTCTGGCTGTTTTCTCCAGAGGCATACTAGATTTTTCTAGTAATCCAATATAACAGCAATATAAGAATGCATGCTTCACGTATTTCTATATTTCTAGTTTTGTGGAGAAATCCTGGTAAAGTCAAGTCCCAATTCTTAATTCTAACAACTTGGGCTTCTGTAAACATTGTTAGTAAAATTCATTATCTCAGAGTGACATTTACGTCATCCAGGATTAGAAAGCACGTTTCCTGATTCCAAGTCTAGTGACTGTCTAGGTGGTAGAGAGTCAGAATTCTTTGGAAGGCACAAGTTCGTCATCTTCACCGCCTTGCTAGAGATGCCTAGAATTCCACCAAAAGCTTTTGCCTCAAATCTCCCATTGACAATTAAAAATCAACTTGTTAGTATAATCTGGTGATATCTCAGAATAAACCTATTTCACCAAACCTATTTCTGGAGTACAAATCTGAGAGGGGGTAGGGGTATTGAGAAGTAGAGAAAAGTATCCCTGTATGAGGAAGGTCATAGAAAGTGAAGACATGAACCATCAGGAAATAATTGTTTCTCCTCTAAATTTTTCCCAGTACTGCTCTGCTTGTAACCTTTCTCTCTAGCTAGGTAATCTTCTAAATACAAAGGGTAGCATTTAATCTCTAGACAGATCAACTATAATTGTAAAATATTTTCCATCAGTTCAAATATATGCATTTATACAGGTAACTATAAACACATCAAAAACTTACATAAAAATAGAGTGAAAGAAAAAGGCTTCAAAAGAAAAAAATAAATGTTAAAGAACTAAACATATTAATTAATCCTTGATGGGATTTGTAAATCAAAATTATTAGATTAAAAACACTTTTCAGATGTAACAAGATCATTGGATTTTACTAATATACTTGTATCGCAAACATAAATGTTTTTTTCTTATGTATTTTTTAACTACTAAATTAATTATTTTTATTTAGAACAATTGTTTTTGAAGCTTTTAAAATTAAGATTCAAAGATGGGGACATATTGTTATTTCTTTAAAAAAAGCATCAAACAATAGCTTCAACTAAAAGTTCTGAATGAATATTTACTAATGCCTCTGTCAGAGAAGTAAAAATATTTACTAATTTTGGATTTGACTTAAATTGATTTTAGTAAATTTAGCAACTTAATATGTAACTCGAGGCTTGTTCAGAGATGTGAACAAATGGTACTGTAGTGCATGATTCTTTATGATGAAATTAAATATGCAGTGCTAAGGTATATCTTCAAGCTAGTGTTGGCATTGCAATTTGTTTTTAGGATTGATAATCTTGATACAGAATATCTTAAATAAAAACAGGAAATATTGACAGTGTAAGCAGAACCAAAGTAACTCTTTTATTATTCTTTTACTTTAGACTTACACATGGTAATACTTCAAGCACTTAAATAAAAATATTCTAGTATTTATAAGGAATTTCTTAAAAAGCAAGAGAGACAGAAAAGAAAAAAGAAACTGCAAGGTAAACCAAGATGCAAAAGTTTATTGAAAATTAAAATCACACATCCATAAAGCAACAGCCTCAATAACAAGAAATCTC